TATTTGGTCGTTATGTGGCCCAATAAATGACTGCAGCATCTTTCTTAATGACCGTGATAAACTTCACTGACATCTGCCCCTTTTAAAGGGCCCATGTCATGGCCATTTCCACTGATCATAATTACATTGTTGAGGTATACTAAAATAGATTTATACTGTGCAATTTTCCAAACTCACATTGGTTTCGCATACAGCATCTCTGTCAAGCATGTGTATTCAGCAGTATTCACTTTCTCCACTAAACGACTCGTTGGAGCTCTTGCCCCCCCCTCCCTGTGAGCCTAGTGTGCTCCGATTGGTCAGCTCGGCCACTCGTTCTGATTAGTCAACCACCAGAGGCTGCGCCCATGTCAGTGCTTTTCCCGGCTGCTCTCAGCGTAACATCAGTCTTATCATGGCGTCGGTACAGCGGTACATTTTATATACATATATATTTTTAACTGTTGTTATAGAAGAGTGTGACGGCCCCAGGGCCTTTGTCTTACGATGGGGTGGAGCTGAAGAGGCTAATCAGCACGATCACGGACACCTCCGGACACAGTCTCTCTCCAAAGCGGCTGCAGGAAGACTAACTCTGCGATCCTCTCAACCACCTGTCTCTGCATTTACCACAATAAATGTGCCGTGGTTTTGTAAACTCGTGTATGTCTCCTTGTCTTTCCGTTGTGGCCTACGAGCTACTCTCATAACAAAGAGTAAGTTATTTTTACCCGTTATAAACTACTACTGTTTGATGAGAAATCAAATCATGGTTTGCTATATATGAATTCAGGGAAGAAAGGATAGGCCTACTAAGTATTTCCATTAAACTTTATTTTTAGAAATGTACAAAATGAACATAAATATACATATATACACACGGTATATCATTCATTCCTCCTCCTCGCATCTTGCCTGCGGCACAGTCGGTGCGGTGCCTTTTAGCACGAGGCCTCAGTAGAATCCCTTCCCCGTCATGGATTGTCCGCCAGGATCTGGCTGGACGAAATCAAATGCAAATCACAAAATATTAGAGAAACTTAGTTGTTTTAGATTCGTTAGTAGTAGTTGTGTAATGAACAGCTTGCCTGCTAATATGCTAACCTAGCTTTGTTTACCTTGGTAGCTAACACGATATGAACGTTAGCTTGGAGGAAAGGCAACTATAATGCAGTGTAATAAAACTACTATGAACAAAAGCTAGTGGTTCATATTAGGCTAGCAATAACGTGTTTATAATTGCAATCGTATACGGGTATTCTGCTACCATACAATGTAACTTGCATGAATACATTGTTTTGCGCTAGCATACAGCTAGCCTCGTTAGCTACATGCAGTATATGTACGGTCACAATGTACGGTAAATCACAGTACAGTATACTGTATGAGTATTCCGTGTGTGTGACTGCAGACATTCTCCTGCCATGACAAACATGTAAGGCCATCTGCTGACATTGTAGTTGATATATTTAAACGCTAGCAACGTAGCATCACAAAAATGTTTTTCTGACCAAAACTAGCTCTAGCTCCGTGTGTTAGATCGCTACGCCAGCTATAATGTAATTACGTTTCGCGACTGACCGGCAAATCACCCGGAGTATACTGTCAATAGGTATTTTGTGTGTGAATGCAGACATTCTCCTGCTATGAGATACATGTATGCAAGGCCATCTGCTGATATTAGAGTTGATATATGGAAACTCTAGCAACTTAGTTAGCACTGTGTCAATGGCTTAGCAGTCCAACACAGTTTACACATTTAAACAGTCTTGTTTGATAAATACACAAATAACAATGCAAACTTACAGGTTGTATACCCAGATCTTCCCCTGCTCCAAACGGTCCAAACAAGCTGTGCATATCCGGCCTCAAACTGGGCAATGTTTTGGAAGCTTTCGTCTGTGAAATGCCGGTTCTTCGAACCTCTGGAGGAGGAACACGCCGCTGCTGGTGTGGCCATAGCTCTTCGGGATTGGTCCATTTCGTTCCGGGTACCGCATGACATCAGGCGGTACCCGGAACTAAATGGAAGACTCAAATGGGCAGTGACGTATCTCCAACGAGGCGTTTTGGGGAGGTATTTTCTGTGTTAGAGTTTTACTCGCTACAGGGTGTACTTTGAGGGTTTTGACTCTGCACACCGTTTACATGCATAAAAACCTTCATAACACACAAGGGGACGGGTAATAACCGGAAAAGCATGACATGGGAGCTTTAAGTTTTTTGTTTTAAGTTAAAGGGGACCTATCATGCAAAATGCACTTTTGTACGTCTTTTATACATGTGTCCCCGGTGTTCCAGGGAACTCACCAAGTGTCAGAAAACACAACCCTCTCTATTTTCCTCCATACCCAAATCTCTAAAAAAGGGGCTGCAATGGATCTGATACAGACTGATCCAGATTTGAACACTTCTATGACGTCACAGAAGTGGCACTACGGCTATTGGGCCAACTATCAGGGGAATGTGGGCAGACCCGGCGGCAGACATACATCTCTGGGCGGGCATTTGATTTACCAGGGCGGGCCCACCCCGATTTATATTTCAACGGGGGGGGGGGCGCTCGTGAATTGTTGTTACGGAAAGAGAGGTTTTTTTTTTAGGTTGCCATAACGCTGTTGACGGTCTTATTATACATCCATTGGTTGGTTTTGTGGCACATTTGTAACGCTGTGCAAACGTGAGCGCACACAGGGTGGAGTGAGGTGTTGGGTTGAGCGATGGAGAGAAAGGGAGAGAGAGAGAGAGATTGAGCAAGGCAGAGAGCGTGTGCAGCGGTCTGCTTGCGCACAGAGCAGGAGTTAGTGAGAGAGCCGGCTTGAGAGTCAATTTATCTTCAAAATATAATTGATTGCCAGCCTCCCTTGTCCCTGGCTGGCTTGCTAGCTCGTTGGTAACGTAACTGATTTCTTCTAATGTGCCTGCATCTGGCGCTGAGTTGCCATATTCCTTTGGTGAGCTCTTTTTGTTCGTGAACCACTTCAGTTCATGATATCCATTGTTGCAGATACATATAAATGATAATAGCTAAACTAACCTAGCAAGAGTAAACTGACAGGCTGCTGTGCCGCATTTCACTCAAAAACCCACACACGACTCAACCCAGCGAAAAACCAGTCTCGCGCGCAGCCTTTCATTCAGAATTTCATTCAGAATTTCCTAGCAAAATAAAAAAATGATATTAAAACTAATCTTTCAACATAGTTTAATACAAAAATAAATATTAGGACAAAGCTCTACAAATAACAACAATAAACATAATAAAAACAATTAAAATGTTGTATTCAGCCCTGATTAAAACAGCGGGCCCAAATCCTGGATGGGCGGGCCCGCCCATGACGCCGGGTCTGAATGTGGGGTTGGGCCACGGCCAGCCATTGCTGCTCGAAAGCGCTGGAGACGCTGTATTACATATGCCAGGCCTGTAAGTGGCGCTGTAGTCTGCCACAAAAGCAGCGAAGAAGACTTCCCGCGCATATGGTAACCATGGTTACCCTTCTGTTTATTCTCCGCTGTGGCTTTTTTCTCCCTCCCCGAGGCAAGCGTTTGCTCCTGCTGCTTTAATTCAATGCAGTCCCTCCCCGTCGAGGCAAGCACTGTAATTCTCTCCGGTTAGTCCACCAGCAGATGACAAACACCCACCTCTCCGCCTCTTCCAAGGAACGAGGGGACCGTGCGGCAGAGTTTCAGTTTCAGTTTCTTTCGCCGGTCAAGATGTCCGTTAAAGTTTAAATCTTCCGGACAAAATTAGAAAAGTGCCGGTCAAAGGTCTCCTTTGTTATTTATTGAGCTTTAAAACAAATGAATAATGACTCTATAGGCCTATAATAATATAATAAAACCATAGACTATATATAAATAAAACACGGAGGACGGAGATATTTTTTTCTCCCCCTCTTGACTTGATCAGAGCACGGCTACCCTCTCCTGCAGGGGGGTGTGGTCTCACAGAATCAGCCCTGTAGACAGCAAACAGCACATAGAGCGAAATGAGGCATGGCTAAAATGCATGATCTGTTTGGTATTTTGAAAACAGAAACGTATAAATATACCTTATATAGGTATGGCCCTACAATATATCATTTAAATATAGCATGATAGGTCCACTTTAATTATTTAATTGACTTTAATAAGATTTAAAGAACCACCTCGAAACTATTGAAACTTTGAACTTGGTGAACTGTTGAACTCTGCTTACACTTTGTGCACACAGGAAACCAAATGGTGCTTTCTGACTGTCGTTTTTGAGCAGGAAGTTTGGGTTTTAACACCTTCATGTATAGATAAAAGCTCCACTGCCAGACAATGGAACCCATGCACATTTGTGGTTCTTAGAAAATAATCATTGTAAGATCTTTGACCAATGAAAGCTTGTCCGTCGACACACTAAGACATCAGTGTTTTAAAGAAGTACTAGTACTTGAGTTAAAGTAGCAATACTAAATGTTATACCATCAGTGTTTACCGTAAAGCTACTGCAAAACACTTTTTAATTGATATGCTCAATTTGGACTAAATCAGAATTGTATTGCTACACTAGACGGTAGGACACACCTCTTTGATCACATTAGACATCTTAATAATATTTCTCTAAGCAAACTTGTGACAAATATTGGCAGTTAGCGCAGCGGTTTAAAGAAAATGACATTGGTTTTGCTTCATTCAAACAGTAGTTTGTTCTTTGTCATTGTTCCAAATACAACATATGCATCCAATCAATGGATGACAAAGAATACTTCATGTGAGATGTTTTGGTTTGATTGCAACTGATATAGCCTATTTATAATTATTCTATTAATAATTATTCTTATTATGTAGACACCTGCACTGCTATTTTGCACTTCTGGTCAGATGCCTAACTTACATTTCGTCACTAGTACATGTACTATGTAATGACAATAAAGTTTAATCCGAATCTGAACTGATCTGCAATGAATAAGCAATAACACAATATGTGCTTCTTTGAAAATGAAAGTACTCAAAATGAAAAAAATAAGCTTTATTTGTTTTACCTTTTTTAGGTTTCAAAGCACAGGGGAGTTGAAGGAAAAGTCAGACCATGTCTACAAACACAGGTGAAGAACATGCAGGTAAACTCCCCCCATTCATCAACTTTGATTTGTACTGTGTATATGTAGACATACAAATTAAATTGTTAAAGGATGTATTAAGATTTATATAAAGTGTAAAAACGACCACATAAATAACTAAATACATCTTTGATCTCTTAGAATTGTGAAAATACAAAATCACAGATTCAAATGATTCCCAGATCTTGCTGATGTGCCAACACAATGTAATCCAACAAAATAAGCAGTTCTGCAAGCTTGCAAACATGGATGTACAATAATCCACATTTAAAATAATACAAAAATTGTGGCTTTATGTTAAATGAGAAAGGAAATGCCTTCAGCAAGTCAGACCTCGAGGAAACCTCCATTTACAATCCGTTAAGCCCTGAGCCTGTTTTTCAGGTCTCAGGCTCGAAAATGACATGCCCAGAACAAATGACTATATCTTCACTTCTAAAAGGCGTAAATGAATAATCTTTTTTCTCAAAGCAATGATAAACCTGTGAGTTGGATGTAGAAAAGTCAGAATCAATATAGATGTTTTTACTTTAAAGTAAATTCAGATTGAACATAGTAAAACAATTTAAATTATGTTTTCCGTCCAAAGAAAACCCATTACTTAGTGAAAACCACCCTTGAATGATGGGATAGTAGACAACAAGCTTTAGGAATGCAAACTATAACATATAATAAGTACCCTGTATCAAGATTGCTGCAAAACAAGTGAAATGTTACCATTTTAGAGAGGTTTAGAAAGAAAACCCCACCTCTGGGGTCATTTGGGTGTATTTGCCATATTTCTCGAACCCATTGGTCGATTTTGATGATTGACACCTCTTTCTAACCGATAAAGCCAATAGAATCGAGGGGGGGTTCTTAAATCCATCTAAACATTACCATTGAGGAGTGAGAGTGATGCGAACGCAGTTTGCCCAAACCGAAAGCTCTGTTACGCTCTAATGAAAACTACTTTTATTGCCATAAATGTTATGATGGATTATCAGTTATCATTTCAAAGTGAGACAGAGACATTGGATTAACCTTCAGCAGCGTTTATATGCGTTTTAATGCCCTTGAACACAACTTTCGATCAGAAAATAGCAAAGGTAAGACGTTTTGGCCGTTTTGGCCCCGTGAAGTTGTGTGTTGTCTTTCCTGGCTTCGCTGCCGCGAGTTTTGGTCACACAGTGATGAAACATATACCAATGGAATCTGTGGAATCTCAGCTTTCATATGATATCAAATTTGTGTAGGTTGCATGAAGTATAACATATCTATACCGTGAGTTCTGTTCTAAGTGCGTTAGCATTTTTTCGCTTAGTTCTAATTCAGAGGCTTGGTATTACCCTTGTGTTTCGTTTAGCTAAAAATGGTTAATAGTTTCGTGAATATTGTTGTGTTTTGCACCCGCCGGCGGGGGCCGATGATCGGGCTTAACAGGTTAATTAAGGGCTACCTAATATCTAAATATGACCTTCTCTTTCTCTTTGACAGTCCTATTCACCATGCTCTCCAAACTGGGACTGGAGCAATTTTATCCCAACAAGCTCACTCTTCGGTCTCTATTGGAGATCAACAAAAACAGCATAAATGAAGAAGCTGCCTTATCAGTACAGAAAATACCTTGGTGCTTTCTCAGAAAACTATTTAAAATCAATGCAGAATGCAGGGGCTGTACACAAGTATCAAACAGTGATGATAATGAAGAAAGCAGTGATCCCTTTGATCTTGACCTTTATACTGCTGATGAATCTGCAGACAATGAGGTTAACCCTCTCGACCTCATAACAGCACTCTTCCTTTGTGCTGACAGCTTCTTGCAACAGGAAATGGCCCTCAAGATGTCAATTTGCCAGTTTTCTGTCCCACTGCTGATGCCCCATGTCAATAACAGTCAGAGTACCCTGATGCTGTGGGCTCTGAGGGACATTGTCAAAGAGTGGTGTCCACACAGTTTGTCTGAATCAAGAGACTTTGTTGAAAACAACATTGTCCAAGCAAAGATACCATTCTATTCCTTTGTGAGGCTCAAAAACTGTACTCTGTCCAAGTCCCAGATTTTGAATCAAGTTCTCAGCCTTGGCCAGCAGAATCACAATATCTTCATACACAGAGACATGAAAGGAGGAGCAATTGAAAGACACATTGCCAATGGCTTGGCTGAGGTGTGCTGGTACCTTCCCAGAGGCAGAGAACATCCTGATGTATTTCCAGACCCAATTGCATTTGCCAATCTGAGAGGAAACATTTCTGAGTCACTTGCTCAGTTCACTTTTCTGTTTCATGTGTCAACTGCTACCTTTGTATTCCTGGACAAAATTGAAAAAGAGGAGCATGAGATTCTGACTTCTCTTCAAGATGTGAAATCCAAACTGTTCTTGGTTGTCAACCGCAAGGATGGAAGTGCTAAAGAGGACATGGAATCTGTCAGGAAAACAGTGAAAGAATTAGATTTGCCGAATAGCAGTGTGAAAATGAAAGACCCAAGAGTAAATGTTGTAGGGTTCTCAGAAAAACTTTCTGCAGCCATTAACAAGATAACAGTTGGAAAACCCACAATGGACATTGAAAATATGCTTGACAAAGCTATTGATTTTGGTCTGTCTGTGGATGAATGCACAAGTGATGACCAAAAGAAAGCATCAGAAAAGATTGTCAAAGGAATTGGAGTACAGAAGATACCAGACTACAAGAACAAACAGCTTCCTCTGCAAGGCGCTGACTGGAAAAGGTTATCGCAGCTGGAGAAAGAGGAATGTAGGTTAAAGAGGCCTGATACTCGAGCACCTGAAGAATATAAATCTCAGCTACTGGAAGAAAAACAACAAATCAAGGAGAAGCTTGGCAAACAGAAACTATCAGATGATATGAAGACTTTCATTAATCAGTTACCTAAAAATGACAGCAAGAGCAGAGATTTTTTCCTTAAGTGGATGAAACTCAAATTGGATGCACATTCCCGGGATCAGCTATCTTCACTCCGCCATCAGTGGACAGAACAAAGCAACAAAGAGAACAAAGATGTGGAAGAGATTGCAAAGCTGGATCGAGAGTTGCTGGAAAGCTCTTTAGGGTTAGAGCATTACCTGAGAGAGATGGGACTGATATATGAGTTTTCATTGCAGTCACAAAACTGTGCTGATGAAATACGTCGTCTCCCTGGTTTGGCAGCTGAACTGCTGTTGGATGGATATCCTTTAGAGCTCTTGGATGGAGATGCTTCCAACATCCCAGAGAAATGGGTGACAGATGTACTAATGGAGCTACACATTAAGGTTGGAGAGAAGAGCAGACTGTTGGTACTGACCGTGTTGGGTGTTCAGAGTACCGGGAAGTCAACACTCCTCAACACCATGTTCGGTGTGCAGTTTCCAGTCAGCAGTGGAAGATGCACAAGAGGAGCGTATATGCTCTTCCTCAGAGTAAGTGATGATATGCAACACCAGCTGAACTGTGACTTCATAGTTCTCATTGACACAGAGGGCCTCAAGTCTCCTCATTTGGCACAACTAGAAGACAGTTATGAGCATGACAACCAGCTGGCAACCTTTGTCATTGGTTTAAGTGATGTCACAATTATCAATGTTGCATCTGAGAACTCCACAGAAATGAAAGACGTGCTGCAAATTGCAATCCATGCATTCCTGAGAATGAAGCAAATCGGTAAAAAGCCAATTTGTCATTTTGTGCACCAGAATGTTGCTGGAGTCTCTGCTCATGCAAGGACTTTGACGGAGAGACAACTTCTCTTGGACCAACTCAATGAAATGACTAAAATTGCTGCTGAAATGGAAAAGCAGCCCTCCATAAAGAGATTCACAGATGTGCTGGACTATGACATAAAAGAAAACAACTGGAACATCCCCGGACTCTGGCATGGGACTCCACCTATGGCACCAGTGAACACAGGTTACAGTGAAGCTGTAGCAGGTTTCAAGAAAAACCTCTTGGAGACAGTGAAAAAAGTAAAAACCGATGATGTTTCACGGATTCCAGAGTTTCTAGAATGGGTAAGAAGTCTCTGGAAAGCAGTCAAATATGAGAACTTCATCTTCAGTTTCAGAAACACTCTTGTGGCTCATGCTTATGACAACCTTTGCAAGAAGTTCAATCAATGGGAATGGAAATTCAAAAAAGACTTGATCTTTTGGCAGGATGGGGCAAAGTTACAGATCTTAAATTCTGACAACAAAACACATGTGAACACTTGGAAGACAATGGTTGCCTCAAAAAAAACACAGTTGATCGCCAAAATAGAGGGTGGACGAAAAGAAATGGACGAGAAACTTGATGAATACTACAAAAGGAAAGACATACACGTGAACCTGATAGAGAAATACAAAATTGACTTTATCAACCGTATCAGAGGTCTTAAAGAGGAATTCCAACATTCAGTAAACAACGCATTGGATTGTGCTCTTGAAGAAAAAAAAAGTTCAAAAGAGGCTCAGGACATTCAGAGCAAACACAGAGAAATGATAGAAAAAGAAGTAATGAAACTCTTGAGTGATCGCGAACACCGCACACTTTCTGATGAACAGTTGAAACGTGACTTTCAACAGATGTGGACAAAAGTCACAGCAAATGTGTCTGGACTGAAAGAACTAAACATATCTGAAAAAGTCCTTAAACAGTTGAGGATACATTTCTCAAATCGTAACTTCAATGAGGAATTACAGAACATTACAGACCTGAAGGACATAGTCAAGGGCCCATTTGAGGTCAAATCTGAACATGTAAAAGTAGGTTGGAAAGGTTTGGCAGTCTGGCAAAAAGAAGCTTTACATAAAGATTTGCAGAGTTTTGCAGACACTGCCATTGAGTCTTGCAAACTGTTTGTACTTGGTAAAGCAAAAACCGACACAGACTACCATGACACTTTTACAAAGGATCTTTTGGAAAAAGTAGATGATTCCCTTAAAGGAAACCTTTTCCAGCCCAAGTTTGAGATTGACCTGAAACTTCACATTTGTGGCATTGCCTCAAGAGAGTTCCTTCAAATGCACAGACATTTATTGTCAAGAAGGGATCCCAGAATTCAGCTGGATAATTACAAGCCACAGTACTTGTTGGATTTTATCGATCTATACAAAAAGAAAGATCATTGCCAACGCAAAGCAAATGCTTTTGTCAGACTTTGTATCAAACCTGCTGTTGAAGAGTACATCAGTAGACATCTGGGAACTAACATTGTGGATGAAGTGTTGGCAGGCCGCCATTCAGCAGAGTACAGTTCCCGAAACATTTTCCAGTACAACATTCAGGAAGAGTTGCTGCAAAAAGAAGACTTTCAGAGTTTTGTCAAGTTCATTTGTAAATATGAAATGTATGTAAAGGATTTGATATTTCAGCACATTTTGCAAGAAATGTCAGAGGATAAAGCTTTATGCAAACTGAAAAGTCAGAATCTGCAAGTCATAGTTAAAAAAATGACTGATGCAACTGAAAGGGCTTCAAAAGGATGGGATGGTGTCCTGCTGCCAGATAACAATGAAAGCATCACAAAGCTCATCAAAAACATGCGCAGACATTTGACCAAAGATATCTCGATTTCAGAAGAGGCTGAAAAAACCACCCTGTTTCAAATCCAAAGCACGTGCCATCCATTTAAAGAGAGCCTTGTCAAATCATTGAGTGAAATGAATGAACAGCTGCAGGAGGAGTTCTCAAAATCTGAAGATATCACTGAGACTGTGAACAAACTTCCAACCAAACCACAGGATGAGCTTTTCAATCGGGTGTTTGGTTGTGGACATCAATGTCCATTTTGTAAAGTTCCTTGTGAAGCCGGAGGTAAAAGACATATCAAACATCATGCAGCTGTTCATCGGCCACAAGGTCTCGGTAAAGGCAGGAATCACAACACTCAGAAGCTGGTGGAAACACTGTGCACAACTGCTGTTCACAGTGAAGCTAAATTCCAGTGCGCAGACACTAATGGAGAGTGGTATCCTTACAAGATGTACACCTTCATCTACCCAGACTGGCTCATTCCTCCAGACTACACCAGGGAGGCATCTGACTACTGGAAGTATGTCCTGGTTAAATACAATCAGAGATTTGCCCAAGAATACAACGCCAAGCCAGCTGATGTTCCAGTAGCATGGAGGAAAATTACAAAGGAACAAGCACTGAAAGGCTTGAAGGAAGCCTTCAACATTAACCCTCCAAGCCCTCTAAGGTCAAACCCCCATGTTCCTAGGTTAGTCACGCTTGGGCCTTTTTGGTAAACATGCTATCAAAACATGCATTTCAAATCTTGGTGACCATAGGGAAAAAATGTAATATTTCAAATCACCAAAATCAATATGTATCGACAATATTTACATAAAAAGTAATGGCATTATAATATCAACAAGGTTAGTTGTGCCATTCCTCAAAGCAGTTTATGTCAGATACAAGCCAGAGGTCCACACCACGCTGTCTACACCTCCAGGGGGGGCTGGCTGGCCTGAATGATCTGCCTACAAAAAATAAAAATAAAGCTCATCACAGTGGACATGGGTATGGGAATAATATTTCACACAGCCACTAGCTTCTTGGAAATATGCCCCTTTTTATACTGTACAGTAAGGACAATAACTGCAGCGAAAATAGAAAGAGCATTGAGAGTGTAAAAGAGTGTATTGATTATTCTTTGTGAAGAAAGCCTTCAACATTAAATGAACAACGCACAGTCCTGACAAAAATCTCTTTAAGGTGGGGAAGGTCATTTTGGAGAAACCAGCTCGAGTGCGCTAGAATTTGAAAATACATAGCCGGAGAAAATCTGCCACTTCCTTACAGAGTCCCTCCTCCAACACACACGAACGCGCACATGACCAATGAGGGCACGAGATAAGTTTGTGCACAGATGGAAGGCTGACAGGCAGGTAGGCCATCCAATCATTTTAGCCGGGCCGGCTAAAATGATTGGTCGTGCTTTTCACAGTACCACGGCTTCCACAGATGACATTTTTTTATGGATTTTTTGTCAAAGCACTTAAGATATTCATTGCTATCGGGGTGTTAAGAGCATTCCATGGAATATAACAAAAAGTATATCTCGAGCCGGTTTCTCAAACTTACCTACCCCACCTTTAAACAAAACAACGTTTAAAAACGGGTGGATTTCTCATATCCAAATGAAGGGAGAAAACCCTAAGACGCCAGGGCAGAAATACAAAACAGATCAACAATTTTTTTTTAAATGATAAAGTTGACTGCACCATGATGTTTACTGGCATCCTTCAGTCTGATGAACACGATGATTGACAACTGATGAGTTTAAGAAGTTGCAGAGAAGTTAAAAAGCTAGAGATGGTGATGTGAGACGTTTTCTTTTTAAGATTACAAATGTTTTGTTTTCCTTCATCAATCTTCCTCATCAAAGACCTCATGTACAATGACTAGTATGCACCATAATGATGTTGACAAAAAAGAGGAACGATTCTTTGAATCTTTATTGTTCAGTTTTTTTTTTCTATTTTCAAGATATTGTATTCCTCTGTGTGTAATGACTGGTGTAAAACAAATGATACTGAAAATGATGTACGTCATAGTCCACCTGAAGAAAGAGATCGTGTTATTTTGTTTTTGCAATTTTAGTTTTTTGACTGCTACATTTATTTTCAGTAAACTGTTAAAAGTTGTGTATTATAACTGGTGTGCACAACAAAGTTGATGTCAATGATAAAGATGGTTTACTACAAAGACCAAAGAGATGTTTTGTGATGTAAATGTCTGCATGAGTCATGTATTGCTTCACATTTGAGCTTTTAAGTAACGTGTTTTGCAGATCAAAACCAGGAGGAAAAATGTGTGATTTCATACCAGTCTGGGAATAACACAAAACGATTCAAATGACATTCCTTGTGTTCATGTCAATGTCTAAAGACCATGTGATGAGATTATGTTTGTTTTGTTTTTACTACTTATTATTACTTAATCAACTTTTTTATTTTCTTGATTTTATTATTCACCATTTATTGTAAATATAAACTTTGATGTGTACTTGGAGAGTACATAAGCCAGCCTCAGTTGAAATACTGTAAGTGCATGTTGATGACGTTTTGCTTCAAGTGCAAATACTGTGGCATCCTTCACATCTTGTTGATGATGAACTTTTGATTTCCATTCTGTTAGACGGATAATGATCTGATGAACAAGTGAGAAAGAAGGACTGTTTGAATGCTCTGATAACAAATTTGTTTTGATGATTGCAGCTCTTTTCATAAAGACTAGTGCAAACAAGCTGTTGATGATGTTAAAATACAATAACAGAGAAACAGATGTTGTCTAATACAGTACGTCATCACTATTCTTTAATATTTGTACATATTAAGACATTTTATCTTATCATTCATTATAAATATATCATTTACATTTTTACTTTTATATGTTATTTTATTTGTTGTAATATTTTTTAAAAACACACACACTCACGCCGTGTGCACAAAATGATGATGTAGGCAAAGACTAGTGATGAGATCATGTTTTACTTACTTTTATTTTTACTACTTATTATTACTTACTCAACTATTTACATGTTTTGTTTTATATTCAACTTTGCTTAATGCACAAAGGCCATGAGAAACAGATGTTATCTAATGGCATCACTATTCTTTCATATTTGTACTGTTATAGTTTCATGCAAGACACTTTTATCTTTTCATTTATGTTTTACTTTTAAATATTCCATTTGTTTTATTCTTTTCAAATAAATTGCTTAAAGAGCATTATGCTGTGTGCACAATATGATGTTGTGGGTCTGTGTCGTACAAAGACCATGTGATTTAAATCACGTTTTACTTACTATTATTATTCGTACTTTTCATACATTTATTGCAGTGCATCCTAAGTGCTTAAAGTACAAAGACCATGAGAAACATGTACTCATTATTCTTTAATATGCTCTACTGTTTTGTTTATTTGAAGTAAAGGTAGAATGAGAAATGTTGATGTACTGAATTTTGTCTGTAGATTAAATATCGTCTAAACAAGCCAACAGCAGAGAATACTGTTGATCATGGTATTGATATTTTCAGATATATTAAAAGTTGATCCAGCCACAAGAAAGTTGAAAAATATATCGTATATAGTTCAACATTTATATCCTTTTTTTTTGTTGTTTTCAGGTTGACAAACATAAATTTGTGTGCATAACGGAAACCAACAAAATGATGGTATGTTGTCAGATCCTATGAAATGTTTTTTGAAGCAAATATAACAATAAAATGATTATACTTAAAGTCAGTTGTCAGTTTTCTTTTCTCAAGTGAAAATAATCTATCTGTTTTTTTCATTCAAATCTTCAGATTGTCACGATCTGTCTGTGTTGTGTTTTGTCTTGTCTTTTTCTGTCTTTGGTTTCCTGTTTTGTTTTGAAAAGTGTTCACCCCCCGTCTTGCCTGTCTCTGTGTTCCCTCCTGCCTGATTGCCTGATTGTGTTCACCTGGTGCCCCTGTGTTTTCTCCTCCCTCCTCACCTGTGTCTTGTTTGTGTGATTGGTCTTGTGTGTATTTTAGTTCTGGTTTTTCTGTCTGTCATGGTTGGTTCCTTGTTTGTCTTTGACTGTGTCACAGGGTAGTGTTCTGTTGTCTACTTTGTTACCTTGGATTAAAGGAATTATCTTGGGAATCTGCATTTGGGTCCTGCCTGCTGCACTCAACCCTGACAGAAGGAACCAACCAGAAATGGGCCCAGCAGATCCATTTGAGGTGGATTTACAACATTTTACCTTTTCTTTGGCTTGCTGCTATGGTAGGTGGAGGGGAGCGTCCAGTGTTCAGCAGAAAGAGGCTGCTCTGGCAGTGGCTCACCAGGTGGCAACAGTGGATCCATCTTTAGTTAAGTTCTTACCTGACTGGATTTTGGATTTCCTTTCGACGTGTGATTCCCGGCCTGCTAGCCCCAGGCATGCTAGCCCCCTGCCTCCCAACTCCCAACCTGACACCATACATCTCGGTGTGTTCCGTCTGGAGTCAACCCCTGCTTCTTCCCCATTTCCTGCTCCTGTCCAGGAGCCGTTCTCGGGCACTCGTCTGGCTTTTGGAGGTCCACGGAGCCTCCAAAAGGCTCCTAAGAGAAGGAGTCGCAAGTCCAGGCTAGCAGCCCGAGCCCCAGAAGCCATGCTTTGGGCTCCAGTACAGGCCCCAGCAGCCATGGTTCCGGCTCCAGAACCGGCCCACACAGCCATGGTTCCGGCTCCAGAACCGGCCCATACAGCCATGGTTCCAGCCCCAGTTCTGGCCCCAGCAGCCATGGTTCCGGCCTCTGTTCCGGTCCAGCACGCCATTTCTCATCAGGGAAATCTTCTGGGCCAACATGAGCAGATGATGCGAGCCTTAGTTGAAAGCAATCAGTCCATGGCTCTACACATCTCAAACCTCGCTGCTCAGGTCTCAACTCTGACGTCTTCTGCTGCATTTCCTGCCTCCTCCAATCCACCTGTGGATTCCACTCCAGCCCCTCGTGTCCTGTCGGTGGTCCGGCCGACTCCAGCATCTCGTCTCCTGTTGGCTCTCCGGCCGACGCCAACCCCATGTCCTGTCCTGTTGGGGGTCCCGCCGACTACTCTTCTGCCGGGGGTCTTGCCAATCCTATGTCCTGTTCCGTTGGGGCTCCCGTCGACTACTCTCCTGCCGGGGGTCTTGCCAACTCCATGTCCTGTGCTGTTGGAGGTCCCGCCGACTACTCTCCTGCCGGGGGTCTTGCCAACTCCATGTCCTGTCCCATTGGGGGTCCCACCGACTACTCTTCTGCCGGGGGTCTTGCCAACCCTATGTCCTGTGCCGTTGGGGGTTCCGCTGACTACTCTTCTGCCAGGGGTCTTGCCAATCCTATGTCCTGTTCCGTTGGGGGTCCTGCCGACTACTCTCCTGCCGGGGGTCTTGCCAACTCCATGTCCTGTCCCATTGGGGGTTCCGCCGACTACTCTTCTGCCGGGGGTCTTGCCAATCCTATGTCCTGTTCCGTTGGGGGTCCCGTCGACTACTCTCCTGCCGGGGGTCTTGCCAACTCCATGTCCTGTGCTGTTGGAGGTCCCGCCGACTACTCTCCTGCCGGGGGTCTTGCCAACTCCATGTCCTGTCCCATTGGGGGTCCCACCGACTACTCTTCTGCCGGGGGTCTTGCCAACCCTATGTCCTGTGCCGTTGCCCCCGGGCCGGCCGCCCGAGACCCCTTCCGGGTCCTCCGCTGTGCCCCTGGGCTGTCAGCCCAAACCCGTCCTCCAGACCCCCTCCACCCACCCTTTTTGGCCCTAGTTATGTGTCCCTCCTCCGGTCCCCCTCCACCCACCCTGCTGCACTTTTTTGGGACGTCTGGGATCTGTGCCTTGAGGGGGGGGTACTGTCACGATCCGTCTGTGTTGTGTTTTGTCTTGTCTTTTTCTGTCTTTGGTTTCCTGTTTTGTTTTGAAAAGTGTTCACCCCCGTCTTGCCTGTTGCTTCCTGTCTCTGTGTTCCCTCCTGCCTGATTGCCTGATTGTGTTCACCTGGTGCCCCTGTGTTTTCTCCTCCCTCCTCACCTGTGTCTTGTTTGTGTGATTGGTCTTGTGTGTATTTTAGTTCTGGTTTTTCTGTCTGTCATGGTTGGTTCCTTGTTTGTCTTTGACTGTGTCACAGGGTAGTGTTCTGTTGTCTACTTTGTTACCTTGGATTAAAGGAATTATCTTGGGAATCTGCATTTGGGTCCTGCCTGCTGCACTCAACCCTGACAGAGATTTAACTGAGTATTCTGCCAACACCAGAACAACACGCAGGAAACTACATTTATTTGATGTTACTATGCATTACAAAATACAAATTAAAAATCAGCAGTTTAATCAGGATTTAAATTACTATAATTACCACAAACTAATTTAAATCTGTTTCTGGTAATTTAGGAAGTAATAAATAGGTTAGTTAGAAAAGGTTTTGTCTATATGTTTTCTGTTGAACCAAGTCTTTTAACAAAACGATTTGTATGTATACATGTTTTCATGTTATATAATGGTATTCATACAATCTGAACAAGGTGACCTGTGAATCTAGTGTGACAATAAGAATTCAGATCCTTAACGTAAGTAAAAGTGGAAATACTATGGTTTTAAGTAAAAGTCCTGAATTTAAAATGTTGCGTATGTAAAAGTAAAAAATTATTAACATCCAAATATACTTGAAGTACAAAAAGTAAAATTACACACTCCGCACAATGGCCAATACCAGAACAGATTATAAATTATATAACTTATCAGCTAAATATACTGTAAGTATCTAAATAAAAAGTGCATGTTATACAGAATGGCTCTTTCCACAGCATTATATTATTATGGTTATTATATTATCCTGTTTTTTATCATTACAAATTCCTCTCCTGACAGCCCATCAGTTTCTCATGCAGCTCGCCAAACAGTGGGCGGAAATAATAATAATATTAATTATTTCACACAAAAAGGTTATGACAATATATGACTTGACGTACAAATAACACTGTCAATTGTGTAAAATAAGAGGATTAGATTACAACTTGTATTTAGAAATACTCTGTAATTATTGATACATAAATGTGTTCATCCATTCAATGTGGCATCTGCTATAATGGGGTTAATGCATGATATTACTTAATAATACAATACACTATATAATATATGATATGATAATTACATTTTAATTTGATTCATTTCTTATTTCATAGTTTCTCATCATTATTATGAAAGCACCCATTGTTTTAAATAATGGTCGGAATGTGACCTGTGAGCCTTCTGAATTACCGTGGGATAGCACATTCTAAACTAAAATGTTCAATCAATAAAGTAACATCTTATCTTATCTTAATAATATCTTCATATTAATAATAATAATAAATCATACAGTATGTGTCCGAAAGGGAGCAGGAGGAAGCAAACACAAAAATATACAAAAAATATACTGCATATTAAAGCAAACGATTGTAAAGGTAAAAGTATGAGCATCAAATCAAATCAAGTTTTATTTATATAGCACATTTTTAAACGATTTTTGGTCGAGCCAAAGTGCTGTACATATAATAAAAATACCCTACAGTAAAGACACTTTACAGCAAATACAACAGCACAGTTTGTTCAATATCAGTATGAGAAAACGACACCCTCTGTCCTTAGACCCTCACATCGTACATGGAAAAACTTCCAGAGAAAAACCCACATTTCAAAGGGAAAAATGGGAGAAACCTCGGGGAGAGCAACAGAGGAGGGATCCCTCTCCCAGGATGGACAGAAGTGCAATAGATGCCGTGTGTAAATCGAAGAGATAATACATTTTACAGCGTAGGTAGACCGCATGACAAATAAAGAAGTGTAATGTAAACATTTACATTATTATGATTATTTAATATATAAAGACTATATATTATTGAATTACAAGATTAGATATACTTTATTTGATCTAAAATATTGATGTGTTCAAATGCTCTTCTAAACAAAACTGAAAGTCCATGAAAAGTTGTCTTTCTGTATTTGTGAATGAAGCGCCATCTCCTGGTTAAATCCTGAAATTGAAAATCTGGCAACGCCCTCTTGGAAAATAGTGGGAGGGCTTAACATTCCCAGATGCTGGGTTGCGGTCGAATACTCCAAAAAAACAGCTCCTAAGTTCTAACCCTATCGTCTATTCCTTGACCTCGGAGTGAAACGTCACAGGGTTAAGGGATAGTGGATAGGAGAATTCAAAACGATTTAGGAGAAGAGACTGCAGTACTTTAGAGGATCCGACTGCACTTTCACTATCCGACGTGTTTATGATGCGCCAGCGGAGGTCATAAATGTGCGCCTGCTGCGGTGGGGAAACTATGGAAACTACAGTTTTCTATACAGCGGACTACAACAGGGATGTTTAATAAGAACGAGGGACTACTGTAAACTCATCTAGAGACTCTGCACCGTGCTCTGATGCTGTTGTTTTATGCTTTATGAACGGGGACAACAGAGAAACATATTCTTCATGACCAAAGTTGGAATTGAAATAAAAAAGGAAAGTGAAACTTATGCTCGTCACCCTCTCCCTCCGGTCCACATTAATACAAATGATCCCAATACGTATGATTGTATGAACTATGAAAAGATCTTAAAAGCAATACAAATGTATTTATTATAAACGTTAGTCCTTAACATCTATCACTGTGTATATCACCATTCAAACATCTTTTTAAAAGTTGAACAAACCCCACACAGCTTAGTAAAGACTGTGAAATGTTGACTTTATTTGATCATTTCAGTAAAAACTAACGTTCA